TTTCACATGTAAATGTTAGAAAGTCATGCAAATATATTTATTTTACTGTCAGGAGTGGGCGAGGATTTGCGAGTAAACAAGCTCTACTGCGCGCATGCATGCTAAATATAATAGCGCAATAATTCTGAGTAAAATATACTTTCTGCTAAAATATTTGTTGTTGGACATTAAATGTGACATGTAGAATTTTAATCCTACATAGGTGTATTTTAATGATAGCAGTAATGTATTTGAATGTTATTAATGACTAGCTACTACCTAATTACTAGCTCAAATTAGTTAAATATGTATTCTTCTTATCAGTTAAAATGTTGTCTGATTTCTATTATTTATTTTCATTTTTAATTCATTGATTTTAATTTTTAATTTAGTGTTTTTAATGCTTTAAAGAGCAATTTTGGATTGTAATGTTTTAATGTTCTCCTAATAACCATAAAAGGTACAGTTGTCATACCCGAGAGAAAGGCTGCATGGCTAGAAACTGCTGATCAACTGAATGCGCTTGTAGCAGCATGTTAACATTTTTATATATCTTAAAAAAAGGTCATTACATTTTGGGCACAATACATTAAAAACAGTTGGTTGTAGCCTATATTTTTATATATTTCATTTAAGTTGCATTTTCTATATACTTTTATTTTTGGACTAATAATAAAGTCAACTAATTGTATGTGGGAAAGTCATTGCAGTGGTAATGTCAATGCGTTCCTATTGGTCACTGTTAGAGGAGCTCAGCTTAGCCTGACAGTTAGCCTGCTCTGGACCAGGTTAGTTTCCCAGCATAAGTTGCCACAGTGACTGAGCTTGAGCTATCACATACAGGAATGCTACTGTAATGGAAATCACAACATGGGCGAATCAAAATTTGAAGTTCTTTTTGGAAAACTGGGACGCCATGTCATCTGGACTAAAGAGGACAAGGACAACCCAAGTTGTTATCAGCGCTCAGTTCAGAAGCCTGCATCTCTGATGGTATGGGGTTGCATGAGTGCGTGTGGCATGGGCAGCTTACACATCTGGAAAGGCACCATCAATGCTGAAAGGTATATCCAAGTTCTAGAACAACATATGCTCCCATCCAGACGTCGTCTCTTTCAGGGAAGACCTTGCATTTTCCAACATGACAATGCCAGACCACATACTGCATCAATTACAACATCATGGCTGAAATGGCCAGCCTGCAGTCCAGATCTTTCACCCATAGAAAACATTTGGCACATCATAAAGAGGAAGATGCGACAAAGAAGACCTAAGACAGTTGAGCAACTAGAAGCCTGTATTAGACAAGAATGGGACAACATTCCTATTCCTAAACTTGAGCAACTTGTCTCCTCAGTCCCCAGACGTTTGCAGACTGTTATAAAAAGAAGAGGGGATGCCACACAATGGTAAACATGGCCTTGTCCCAACTTTTTTGAGATGTGTTGATGATTCAATGCACACAGATTGAAGTAGTTTAAGTCTTTGGTTCTTTTAATTGTGATGATTTTGGCTCACATTTAACAAAAACCCACCAATTCACTATCTCAACAAATTAGAATATGGTGACATGCCAATCAGCTAATCAACTCAAAACACCTGCAAAGGTTTCCTGAGCTTTCAAAATGGTCTCTCAGTTTGGTTCACTAGGCTACACAATCATGGGGAAGACTGCTGATCTGACAGTTGTCCAGAAGACAATCATTGACACCCTTCACAAGGAGGGTAAGCCACAAACATTCATTGCCAAAGAAGCTGGCTGTTCACAGAGTGCTGTATCCAAGCATGTTAACAGAAAGTTGAGTGGAAGGAAAAAGTGTGGAAGAAAAAGATGTACAACCAACCGAGAGAACTGCAGCCTTATGAGGATTGTCAAGCAAAATCGATTCAAGAATTTGAGTGAACTTCACAAGGAATGGACTGAGGCTGGGGTCAAGGCATCAAGAGCCACCACACACAGACGGGTCAAGGAATTTAGCTACAGTTGTCTTATTCCTCTTGTTAAGCCACTCCTGAACCACAGACAATGTCAGAGGCGTCTTACCTGGGCTAAGGAGAAGAAGAACTGGACTGTTGCCCAGTGGTCCAAAGTCCTCTTTTCAGATGAGAGCAAGTTTTGTATTTCATTTGGAAACCAAGGTCCTAGAGTCTGGAGGAAGGGTGGAGAAGCTCATAGCCCAAGTTGCTTGAAGTCCAGTGTTAAGTTTCCACAGTCTGTGATGATTTGGGGTGTAATGTCATCTGCTGGTGTTGGTCCATTGTGTTTTTTGAAAACCAACGTCACTACACCTGTTTACCAAAACATTTTGGAGCACTTCATGCTTCCTTCACACTGCCAAAAGCACCAAAAGTTGGTTAATTGACCATGGTGTTGGTGTGCTTGACTGGCTAGCAAACTCACCAGACCTGAACCCCATAGAGAATCTTTTGTCAAGAGGAAAATGAGAAACAAGAGACCAAAAAATGCAGATGAGCTTAAGGCCACTGTCAAAGAAACCTGGGCTTCCATACCACCTCAGCAGTGCCACAAACTGATCACCTCCATGCCACGCCGAATTGAGGCAGTAATTAAAGCAAAAGGAGCCCCTACCAAGTATTGAGTACATGTACAGTAAATTAACATACACTCCAGAAGGCCAACAATTCACTAAAAATGTTTTTTTATTGGTCTTATGAAGTATTCTAATTTGTTGAGATAGTGAATTGGTGGGTTTTTGTTAAATGTGAGCCAAAATCATCACAATTAAAAGAACCAAAGACTTAAACTACTTCCGTCTGTGTGCACTGAATTTATTTAATACACGAGTTTCACAATTTGAGTTGAATTACTGAAATAAATGAACTTTTCCACGACATTCTAATTTATTGAGATGCACCTGTATATCTATGCATATAATAAACATTTAAAAGTTGTGTTTTTATAGTTTTTTTCTTGTAATGTGTTGTAACATCTCTCTGACAACTGAATAAACACTGTGAATAAATGTCATTCTGGTCATGAAAAATGAACATTAATAAAAGACATCAAGTCACAATGTCTGACATTTTTTACATATAAAGATTTTTATTTTAAAATATTAATTGTTCTGCTGCGTTAACTCTACTTTTATACTTTGTGGGAGTTAGGTTGAGACAGATGTGCGATTGTGTGGTTTGTTCCCGACCCTGTCAATCAAGTGCAGATTCGGCAGGTATGCCCATCTCGAAACTCTTGTGAAACGTAGTCACGTGACATGGGTGTTTCGAATCACACTTCGGAGCAGTGTTTCGAAACATCTGCGCTTCGGGATCTCGACACCGTGTCGAAACGTCAGTTTCGTGTCAGCCATGCCTAGTTTTTAGCAATTCAGTGCTTTCAAAAAATTGTAATAAAACAAAAGAATGAGTGTTAAACTTATTATGCTGGTGGTCTTCCATTACCAGTTATCAAATTAAATCAAATCTCTTTATTGTCACACATTGTGTAGACAAGTGTAATGATGGTGAAATTCTTAGGTACAAGACTCTGTGCCATGGCAGTACAAGCGACAAGATATGAAAAATTAACAATATACATAAGAATATGCACATTTTACACAATATACACATTATACACATTTCCATAATATACACATAGCACACAATATACTCAAGCAGGGGCGGCGTTTCCGTATGGCAGAGTATGGCAGTCGCCATACCCTAGCCCAGTCAGGTGTGCCGTGGAAAATCCAAACTCTCTATTATATTTCGTTGTTATTGTTTTAAATCACTACTATTGGTCTTCCTTACATCTGTTTGAGGGTTTTTACAAATATTTAAACAATGAAAAGCATTCAAAAGAGCTTGTCACTAAACTTACGCTATGGATCCTCAAACTGTCAGCGAAATCGAGATGGTCCTCACTGCAGAACACAAGATCCAGGGGGCGTGGTTGGATCATTTTGCATTCTACCTATGATAAAACTTTCATGGTCTTCTACATTAACTGCTCCCTCCTGGTGGAATGACCCTAAACCTACCCATCTCCACCACTTAACTTACCAATCTCCACCCCCTAGATGTGGATCCAACCACGCCCCCTGGATCTTGTGTTCTGCAGTGAGGGGCTACTGGCAAAACCTCATAACTTCACCCCGCCTCGCAGCGCGCACAGCCTGGAGACAGATCTAGGCTTGTTCGCAATGCAGTGTAAATAATAAATAACTGATGTTTGAATAAGTACAGCGTTTTCTTCATTAAAACACTATGTCTGTAAAGGCTCATGTTCTTGGTGTATTTGAAGAGCGGAGAATAGCTTTTGCCGTCTAGTTGTAACCAAAATAGGCTATTTTTGTAGGCTACGTTTTAAATATCCTGTGCATATAACGCTTCATCGTCTATATCATGAGATTTTGGCCAACTGTATTAAACGACAAGAAAAACTAAGCACCCATATAGCTACATTAAATGTTATAACCTGTAAGTTGCTGATAGCGTATAATGCGATGCACTTGTTGCCTCAGATGCGGCTGTTGTACTGACAGACAAAACACAGATCTCCGTCATTAAACTGAAATGTACTTTAAAAAAAAAAAAAGACAAACTGTTTTTTTTTTGTTTGTGAGAAACTCTACCTTTTTTATAAAATTGTCTGCACTGTGTTGGAAGACTTTAAAAGCCCATTTTTTAGATGTTTTCCAACCTCGCCTATTAAGTTTTTTGTCTTGTAAGCATATCTGAGCACTCTATAGAGTACTGATACTTTCTCGCCTCAGGGCACTTTCTTTTTTTAAAGGTCAGAGGTCGTGGTGAAGAAAGTGAGGCGTTGGTTCAAAGCCCAGCTCTTCCTTCAACTGTGTCCAATCAGGACTGTCAGGTAAGAGTTTATGTTGACAGTCAAAAACTATGATTTTTAAAAAAAATGTGTTTGAAAGAAGTCTCTTATGCTCACCAAGGCTACGTTTATTTGATCTAAAATAGAGTAAAACTAGCAATATAGTCAAATATTTTTACAATTTAAAATATCTGTTTTCTATTTTAATGTTTACTTCAGTCTTCAGCTTTTATTTGAAGTATAAATCGTTTGTAATATTATACGTCTTTTGATCATTTTAATGCATCCTTGCTGAAAGCAACTTATTAACCACAACTTTATGAGTAGTAGTGTATGTATGACTGTTCACATAAAATAGTGGTTTGTCTGTGCCACAGTATTTGGATTCTGAGGCAGATTTCAAGTTAATTGTCCGTGAAAAATGAGGACACATCTCTGCAGCTTATCTACAAATAGCTTACACAGAGTAACAACACATTCAGCCAAAGTTTCAATTTTACACTTGATTGTCCATGAATAAGATATTATTCTGGGGCATCTGGTCTTGTAGCAGACGCTCAACTGCTAATTTTTCTGTGTAGTTGCAGTTCTCTCTGTATCTGTGCGGGGATTTCAATGGAACAGTGCTCCTGTCAGTGGTGGAGAACGGAATGTCAGCTTCTCCACTGATTTGGGAGAGATCTGGACACTGGAAGGACGCTTGGCAAGAGATCTCTCTGCCGATTACAGGGATCTTAAAAGGGTGAGATGATTAAATGCATGGTTAAACAGACAGAAAAATACTTTTATTAGTCCCCAAGAAGAAATATAATGTAAAGTCAAAATCATATAAAGATACCATCCTGTCCCAGTAATGGGTTAAAAGGATCCCCTATCTAGCAAAAGAAACCATCAGGGGCATCTTATCTCAGCTGTCATATGATTTTCATAGAATTGTAATCTAATCATTTAATTTTAAGACTTTCTTTAGATTTTTGAAGTATATTGATGTAAAATTCCTAGATCAAATATATTTAGTTACAAACTCAGGTTCTGCAAACTGCAAAGGGTTTGCAAGTTGATGATAAGCTAAAATGAATCATAAAAATGCACAATTAACATTACAATATTAAAGGGGTCATGAACTGCCTTTGTTTTTTTTTATTTCGTACTGTTCTCTGAGATCCACTTATAATGTTAACAAGATTTTTACATGAAAAAAAATCAACCTTTAGAAGTAATAGGCTATTTTCTGTTTTGACCCCCTTCATCAGAACGCTCTGTTTGAATAGGTGTGACAGATTGTAGACTCGGAAGTAAACGCCCACTGCTATGATTGGCTAACAGTTGTGTATGTTTGACAGCGTACATCCTTCGCAGATGGACGCTGTTGTGATTTAGGTTAAAAATGCATAAATATTCAATACATATCAAACGATTTGTAATATCAAAGCAATAATGATCACGTAATGAAAATAGTTACTCAAAAATAAAGTTCAACAAATCAAGTTTTTCGTTTGGTTTCTGCGTAGACCTGCATTTGCCGCTCTTGTCATTTATGTACTACATGCGTGAATTGGTGGGCGGGGCTAAACAGGCCATGATGTAAAAGGAGGCATTGATCTTCTTCTGCGGAGGCGGTGTTTAGCCACACTTTTCCGTCATAAAGTGGCACATTCCACAACCTGTCTTTTTGGCAGACTGGCTTCAATATAAGCGTTTTTTTTTTTTTTGGACTAACGAGAAAATTCTAAATAAAACATTTACCAAGTAAATGGGAATTTACTGACAAAGAGTATCTCAAAACAAAAGTAAAGTAAAAAAAAATCTAATTGAAATTTGTCGGAGGAATACTCTTACCCTGCTTAGAGTGGAATTGTTGACCTGCACTTGAGTTATGTAATTTCATTAAATGTCTACATTTACATTAATAAATCTGATTTCACCGTTGCTCTTATTCTAAAATAATTTGTCATTTGTTTTGAGCACAGCTTCCATCTTAAAGTGCAGGCCTTCTGGACTTCTGGATCTAAAGCTAACATTGCACTGGATGACATTTCATTAAGTGCAGCATGTTTTGACACAGGTAACCTTTCTGCCTCACACATGTACACATAAGTTTGCACCCAAACACTCAACACTCGGGCAGAATAATGGTTCATTTGTTCATCCCTGGTGCAAAAGTTTATTGACCACACCACAGACTCACGATTGCATCCAAGCACTCAGTGATAGGGCGTTTTCACAAAATTTGAGTATTTAGTAAGACAGACGGAGAATTTAAGATGTGATGCACACACATGATGTCTAACCGCTGTCTCCAGTTAGCAGAGGGAGATGGTTCTCATCACGCAATTGATATAGATTCCGCTTGATTCGTTTTGAAGGAACATAGACCGATAAGAGGACCTCCTATCTCACAATCCGCAAATGTCGTAAAAATGCCAACAATAATCTTTCTGCTATTCTAACAAGCATTTACAGATCTTCAGAGTCAGGTTTCTTGCCACGACACGGTTGACCGCAGGAATTGACAAGCCCATTAATTGGCATTCAAGACTTGTGAAAGTCAAGATTTAGTATCCACGTTAACTTTGTTTCCCAGAATCTGTGATTTTGAGAAATTTCTGAGCCATCTGTTCATTAAACATAATCTTTAGCTTTCTGCTTAGTTCTCCTCTTGCTGTCATATTATCTTTGTCACAGTCTGTGGTCCCTCAACATCTTTAAATCTTATCCAGTAAAAGCTAGTATTTAAACCCTGTTGAAAGGATCAGTTTAGACCAGCAGATATGTCCATAATGGTCCAGGCTGGTTTATCCTGGCTGTGTCTGGTTTAGTGGCTTTCTGACTGATAAACTAGCAAGAATCAACTGTATCAACATCATTGTCCTAGTGGAGATGGTTGACTAAAGAAGTCCTGCTGGAAAAGCTGGTTAAGATGTTTTTGGTGAAACCAGCATTGAATACAATGCTGATCTAGGCAACCAAAAGTAAAAATGGCAAGTTCAAAAAAGAAAAAAACTACACAGGGGGTTGTTTGATTCTAAGTGTCATACTTTCATTTGTGTTCCTTGTTCTCTTTCCATATCTGGTTTTTAAGAACTAAATAAACTGCTTCTTGGACAAGGACTACTGCATGATTTAGACTCCTTCAGCCCTCTCCCAGAACCCTCAGCTTCAGGTATGGTTCCATTCCTGTGCATTACACAAATACATTACTGTTTAATAGATAGTAAGCTTGTAAAAGATGTCTCGTATGTTAACCAAGGCTGCATTTATTTGATCAGAAATACAACAAACACAGTAATATTGTGAAATATTATTATGATTTAAAATAACAGTTTTCTATTTGAATATATTTTAAAATGCAATTTATTCCTGTGATGGCAAAACCAAAAGTTGTAAAAACATTACAAAAACAACATTTTATTTTCAGAGGCTTCCCTAATGACATGGTGGTTTACCTCCTGTGGAGCAAGTGGACCTCTAGGCCCAACTCAAGCCCAGTGCGACAGTGCCTACCGCAACAGCAACGTCAGTGTGGTGGTGGGGAAAGAGGGCCATCTCAGAGGTGTTCAGATGTGGAGGGTTCCAGCTACCAATATGTACAAGTAAATTCAGAAGCTTGAAATCAATCTGGTTTAGAGTCGTTCTTGGATTCAAAACAGGTACTGTACAGGTACCTCATGGACTTTGTGGAGAAGTTGTTGAGAAGGTGTTTGATACAGCTCAAAATACCCCACAGATCATTTATTATACTATTTTGAAAATGCCTGTTTGAGTGGAAGCAAAAACACACTGTTTTCGTACATGTCTCTTTAAATGCAAATGAGCTACTGCTCCCTGCCCCTTTCCAGAATAGGGCTGTGCCTTTACAGCTCGTATCTCAGATAAAATACAAAAAAACAGATGTAAAAAAACATCTGTTTGATTTTGATTATCATGTCTGTCATGCTAAAAACTTATTTGCATGTGTTTTAGAGCCATCTTATGTCCAAATACCATGTAAAAGTGAATTTTGTATAATAGGTGCCCTTTAAGCTAGTTAAGAAGTCTGGCTTAACCAGACTTCATCCTGTGATCATCCTATGCTTGCAACCAAGCAATCCAAAATTAATACAATTTTAATATATTTCTGTGAAATGTTTGGTGCACCTTTATGCCGGTTTCACGTCAGTGAAACTACATCGCCACTGCAGCTACAGAAAGTATTCACACTGGAAACAGCGTCACAGCAGCAGCTACATGTCTGGGGAAACTTGATAGTCTTGAAAGTTTGTTAATATGGGGATTCACATAAATAGGAAACAGCAAGCACAATCAAGACAACAGCTCCGATCATGTTATTTCAGTCATACTTCGATATAGAACATGCTGTTTATAATGTTTTTTATAATACACCATACTTTCACCCAAACTAAATAATTAATAACAAGTTTAACATATGTCTTCTATACATATTTTTGATTCTTCATTTTCCTTTCTGACATACTCCAATTCTTTTAAAAACACATTAGACATGCTTATTCTGAACTCCTGCGTGATACTCATGCGTTGCTCCTGCTCCCGGTATGAATGCACTAACTTTTTAAAGGGATAGTTCACCCAAAAATGAAAATTCTGTCATTAATTACTCACCCTCATGTTGTTCCAAACCTGTTAGATGAATCCTTCGTTCATCTTTGGAACACAAATTAAGATATTTTTGATGCATTCCGAGAGCTCTCTCGCAAAAAAATAAAAATAATGACTTTATTCAACAATTCGTCTCCTCCGCGCCACCCTATAGTGCAAGTATCACATACGCAAACAACGTATGCAACGTATGTACACGGATACGTTGTTTACGTTCAGATCAAAGTGTAAACAATGTAAACACTGTATCCGTGTACGGTGCTGCTGACACAGAAAAGCATACATTGTTTACATATGTGATACTCTCCAAAATATATATATTTTTTTTAAATCTAAATTTCTTTATTGTCACACATCGGGTACACAAGTGTAACGATGGTGAAATTATTAGGTACAAGACTCTGTGCCATGGCAGTACAAGCAACAAGATATGAAAAACAATATAACAATATACATAAGAATATGCACATTTTACACAATATACACATTATACACATTTCCATAATATACACATATATACTCAAGAAATCACAGATTTTAAGTCTTGATAAAACAAAACTTTGGCCAGATATTTCCTTTCATATTGTGACACATTCAAGTCGGAAAAAAAATGATTCTATTCTTCGGTTGTTAATGGGATTTTTAGATATGTGCGTTGCACTCAGAAATGGAGGCAGATGAACGCAAGGCGGGGTTAACGAGAGGCAGGGTTTAAGCAGATGGTCCTCGCTGCAGAACACAAGATCCGGTGCGAGGTTGGATCCAGATCCAACTCCTCCCACCTTACATACTGTATACCTAAACCTACCTGTCTCCACCCTCTGATCCCTAAACCCACCCATCTCCACCCCTAAACATACCCATCTCCACCACTTAACTTACCAATCTCCACCCCCTAGATGTGGATCCAACCACGCCCCCTGGATCTTGTGTTCTGCAGTGAGGGGCTACTGGCAAAACCTCATAACTTCACCCCGCCTCGCAGCGCGCACAGCCTGGAGACAGATCTAGGCTTGTTCGCAATGCAGTGTAAATAATAAATAACTGATGTTTGAATAAGTACAGCGTTTTCTTCATTAAAACACTATGTCTGTAAAGGCTCATGTTCTTGGTGTATTTGAAGAGCGGAGAATAGCTTTTGCCGTCTAGTTGTAACCAAAATAGGCTATTTTTGTAGGCTACGTTTTAAATATCCTGTGCATATAACGCTTCATCGTCTATATCATGAGATTTTGGCCAACTGTATTAAACGACAAGAAAAACTAAGCACCCATATAGCTACATTAAATGTTATAACCTGTAAGTTGCTGATAGCGTATAATGCGATGCACTTGTTGCCTCAGATGCGGCTGTTGTACTGACAGACAAAACACAGATCTCCGTCATTCGCTGGTCAAAAACCTTGTTAACTCCATTTGAGCTTGATTTTCATAAAATGTTAAGTGCAAGTTTCTGATAATAAAGCCACATACCAACTCTGACGACGCAGTGTTTAGTGCCCCTATTATGGGTTATGAAAGGTTTATATTTTGGTTTTGGGAGTCCCCAATAACAGGTTGACATGCATGCAAGGTCAAAAACACTTTCATTGTCTTATAATATGCATTTATTTTTACCTTGCTTGCTCAACGACTCCCAAACGTTTCGTTCAACGATTAATTTTTCCAAACCCCTCCTTTGCGTGATGCTAATCTGCGGTGATTGGTCCGATTGGTCTCATTTTCATTTCATCATGCCTGTGATGCCTGATAAAGCAGCGTTTGTGAGCAGTGCTTTGTGTACAGCGTTACCGGGGGAAACCGCTATTTTTACCTCTCCAAAAGTAGCACATAGTGGCAAAGAATGAATTTGCATTTTCATTCAGACCAACGCCAAAAGACCAACAAGTGGGCGGGCAATATGCTAAAGTTTCATGAAATGGCTTGGGATTCGTTTTAAAAACGACTCGTTTCAATGATTCAGAGTCGACTCTTTCTTTTGAGAGACAATAACTTTATACACGGTGCACTTTCAGATTTAAAACTTTGCAGGATGTTTTCATTCACTTAGAGCTGTGTTACACATTGCATGAAAGGTAATTTTCAAAAATCCATAATAGGGGCACTTTAATTATTAAAAAAAAAATTGTGTGCTGGGCTGTCTGAACTATTCTCTGCAGGGCTTTCCGGTTGAGAGCGGTGCAGTTCCCATACCAGGCGTTGATGCAGCTGGTCAGGATGCTCTCCACAGTGCAACTGTAGAACTGTCTGAGAATTTTTGAGCTCAGACCAAATTTCTTCAGTCGCCTGAGGAAGAATGGACGCTGGTGGGCCTTCCTCACTACTGACTGTGTGTGAGTAGTCCCGGTGAGGTCCTCGGTGATGCGAATGCCGAGAAACTTGAAGCTGCTAACCCGCTCCACTGGAGTCCCGTCGATGGTGATGGAGGAGTGCTCACTGGTCCGTCTCCTGAAATCCACCACCAGTTCCTTGGTCTTCCTGATGTTCAGAGAGAGGTTGTTGTTGTGGCACCAGTTAGTCAGTGTGCGCACCTCTTCTCTGTAGGCTGATTCATTCTTGTCGGTGTCCGACCAAGCTGAATCGTCCTGAGGGCGGGTGTTTCCTGTTTCAAATTCTGCCTGTAAGCAGACAGGAGCAGAACGGAAGAGTGATCTGATTTGCCTAGAGGTGGGCGGGGATGGACTTACAGAAGGGGGAGTAACAGTGGTCCAGAATCCAATCTCCATGTGTGTTGTATGATATGTGCTGGAAGAATTTTGGTGCAATCCTCCTAAGATCGGCTTTGTTGAAATCCTCGGTTATAATAAATGCAGCGTCAGGGTGCACGGTCTCCTGTTTGCATAAATGCCCATACAGTTCCTTGAGTGCTGCATCTGTGTCGGCCTGAGGGGGGATGTAAACAGCTGTAATGATGACTGCTGTGAATTCCCTCGGTAACCAAAACGGCCGGCACAGAAGCGTGAGGTATTCCAGGTCAGGAGAACAAAGAGATTGTATAGGATGTACATTCTTCCGATCGCACCATGAGTTGTTGATCATGAAGCATACACCTCCTCCTTTGCTTTTCCCTGAGAGATCTGGTATTCTATCTGCGTGATGCACGGAGAAAGTCTGGTACCTCTCGAGACATCCACGTTTCTGTGAGGCAAATAATGGAGCAGTCCCTGATCTCACGCTGGAAAGAAATCCATGCTCTCAGTTCACAGAGTTTATTGTCCAGGGACTGGACGTTAGCCAATAGGATACTTGGTAGTGGTGGTCTTAATCTGACGAGGACGCCGGCTTTTTTTCCTCTCCTCCGGCTCCGTTTTCGACGTCGCGGTCAGGCGGCCCAAACAAAGGGCTCCGCAGTGTTGTTTGTAAACAACGAGTCGGTGTTGAGGAATTTAAAGTCCGGTTTGTGGTGAGTAACTGTAGAACCAATATCCAGAAGTGTTTGTCTGTTGTAAACAATTAGGGAGACAAAATCCAGAACAAGAAACATCCAAATTACATACAAAACAAACAAAACCTGGCAGTTTGGGTCAGAGCTTGCAACACGGCGGCCATACTCGGCGCCATCTTGTTTATTCTTCAGTTAGTATGGAATGGTAAGTTATGTAATGGTGTAAACTTTGTGCTTAAATTATAGACAAATCTTTTATTTCTACAATTTTGACAAATTTACTCTTTTTTTTGTAGCACTCATCTCCCCAGTGGAATATGGCTTAGACCAGAGGTTGGGAATCTTTTTTGACCAAAGAGCCAAGTTTTTATTTTTGGTTAATGCCTTTTTCCAAAAAAGCCTATATATATATATATATATATATATATATATATATACTGTATATATATAGCCTAATATTATATAAAATGCATGTTTTTTTTCAATAACATTTTAATAATAGTAACTTTGTTAGGACCATGGAAACTAAAACACACAACTAACCGTCAAAAATTGTACAGGGCTTTTACTGTGAGGTTGATTTACAGGGCGATGAA